TTTTTTTGCAAAGTTGATGAAGTTATAATTTTAAAAGATAATCAACATCATTGTTTCTGAGTTACTTAACATATATATATAATAGTGCATAAGATCTGCTATAGATATAATAGATATGTAAAACAGATGTATTTGCCAATTAATTCAATGATTATAATAATAAGAATGATAAATTAAGAAAAACGAATTTAAAAAATGAATAATAAAGAGCGAATAGTAGGAATGCAAAATAAAAAATAGGGTGCCCGTAGAAAAAGAAAATTTCTGTTCGAAATGTAGAAATTAGAAACACTCTTACTCTGATGTTCGATTATCCTACAAAATAACTATAGTCTACAAAAGATTTTTCACTTTACATATTTTGTATTAGTTTAATGAGGCTAGAGAATATATGTGAGTTTCACATTTCAGCCACAAAGGGGCTACGCTAACAAGCTTCCTATATTATCAATATCAGTATAGAAAACTAAGAATAAAAATATATGTATAAGTATATAAGTTCAAATAAATCAAATATTATATCGTTTTCTATATTATATATATAGAAAAATATTCCCAGGCATATGGTAGAAAACAATTAATTAATATATTATTTTCTATATTGTCAATATAGAAAGAAACCATACGAAATAAAATAATTTCTGTATTAATGATATCAATATAAAAAAATAAGGAATACAAAAATATATGTTCCAGCGTATACTAGAGGATAATAGAAAAAAATTTAATTTTTCATCTTGTGATAGTTTTAGAAAAATTTGGACATCGATATTTTTTCTGTCGAAATATTTTGTGAAGAAAAACGTCCTCTATTATGTGAACATTTCCAAGACACAACTGTACCTTGACTAATCTATTATACAAAGCATTTGTGAAGTCAAAAATGATTTTACGATTACAATAATAGAAAACATTGACTTTCATAACACAACATTGTGTATTTTGTACATTTCTCCATAATAGAAGCTATTGAATCAACAATTCTCAAATAAGTAAAAGAACATGATAGATCACACAGAATCAAATAAGAGCAGACAAGACTTGGATTATGTAATGCTATAACTTTCTTTTGTTTATGAATTCTATTTAGTCAGATAAAATCAGATCAGAATCCTTTACTCTGTTCTTATATATTTCTTAATCTCAGAATCTAATAAGATTTCCAATGACATCTTTTATTCTGAATCTGACAAAATCTTTAAAAAAATGCATCTATTTTCACTGTCTCTTTTTTCTTTCCCGTCTACTTTACATCTCATGCATATCCCTTCTCTCTTGCATTCTTTTTGTGCATGGCGTCGCATTTAGTCTATTTTCAATATTCTTGTTCAGAATCTTCGAGAAGCTTATTATTGTCCCGAGATTTCTATTATAGATATCCGCCCTTGTGCCTATGATATTCATTATGTTCAGAAGAATTCAGTGAAAACCCTCCCAGAATCGGTTTGTGATGAGCACTTTGTTCGAGAAATTTTTTGTATTTACTGTTCTAAATAAAGGAAAACTATAATTCTAATAATTACTTTACAAGACTGAAGAGGAAAACAATCTAATTTGGGCTAGAACACTAGTCCATCAATCAAAATCATAGAAATATGAATACATGTTATCATATTATCTCCAAAAATTAGCTTGGGCGTCCGAGAGTTAAATACACAAGTTTTTGAACATAATTAAATCTACGATTGACATGTTCCTACTCCATTTTCACTCTGATGAGAAAAGCATCAACTTTGGAGTTGGAATTGCCCATCTCTAATATCAACCATTTCAAAATACTTACTCTTCAGATCCTCCTGAACATATCCATAACATGCGAGCTTACAGAAGGCTTCTCAGAGCAAGCACTACATAAGGATTATAGCATGATCCTCATAGAAGATACTTATTATTTTTAGATTTTCAGATTTTGACAGAGTATCTTATTTAGTCATCAAGATTTTCTTCAAGGACCGTAATACAATGGTTTGAAGATGGTGTTCATCAAAAGTTAAAAATAGCATTTTAGAACACTTTCTTTTCAAAGCCCATAAAATTCATAGATCCCAATGTTTGTCACTGGAGAGCTCCGTTCGGATTGACATCCATCTTTTCAACATTTGCAAAAGTAGAAGCCCTCTCAGATTACATCGCGGTTGTTCTTCGAACAGCTTGATATAACTTACCAAAAGCCTTATAAAATTTCACCGGCATTCTCTATGCAAATACTTAGGAGATTCTTCGGCAGATCTACATTCATCATACAGAAAATCATGTATCCTTAAGGTTTCCTAAAAAACATAGGAATTAAGTTTGATATTTTGTTGTTCAACGATTCGATATTCTTCTCACAAGATACAGATAGAATCTTCTCTGATATTCATATAAATGATCATTCTACCAAAAAGATTCTGAATTCTTGCAATTCTGAATAAAATCCTCAGATCCTTATGTTTTTCTATCAAAAACTTACATGGAATTAGTATTACTCTTTCTTCGAGAACCTCCTTACAACAAACTCCAGGTGTTATTTTTATGATCAAAAAGATCTTGGCAAGAACTAGAAGTAACATAGCTGTAAGAATCGTTACCAAATCCTTTTTTTCTCATAAGAAATTAGGAAAAGATTTCTGAATTTTCATATGTGGAATAAGCATTCTCAAAGATGAATGTCATATTTGTAGCGCTTGCTCTCACGAGAGACGGAATCCCTTCGACAACGGCGATTTCTTTTCTTTTTCCTTCATTGTAGTAATTCTCAATATTCCAGCCGATGCTCGAGGGGCCCAGAATGGAGTGACTGTTGCTGGAGGCCATGGAAGGGGCAGTGCTACCAATCAACTAGACTGGCCTCGTGGTCTCTTCGTTGATGATGATCAAACGATAGTCATTACTGACTGCTGGAATCATCGTGTCATCCAATGGAAGATGGGTGATACGAATGGACAAGTAGTAGCTGGTGGCAATGGCCAAGGAAATCGATTGGATCAATTGAATTATCCAACCGATGTGTTGATCGACAAAGAGACGGATAGTCTCATTATTTGTGATAACTGGAATCGACGAGTCGTACGATGGTCTCGTCGTAGTGGTACAACTCAAGGAGAAATCCTCATCAGCAACATCCGTTGTTGGGGATTGGCCATGGATGATCAGAGATATCTCTACATCTCTGTCACCAACAAAGATGAAGTAAGACGATATCAAATAGGAGACAAGAATGGAACTCTTGTAGCTGGTGGCAATGGCGAAGATACTGGTCTCAATCAACTCAACACGCCGACCTACATCTTTGTCGATCAACAACAGACTGTCTACGTATCAGACAGGGACAATCATCGTGTAACGAAATGGAATAAAGGTGCAAAAGAAGGAGTTGTCGTCGCTGGAGGCCAAGGCGAAGGGAATTGTCTGACACAATTGTCGCATCCTCAAGGACTGTTCGTCGATACATTTGGTACCATCTATGTGGCAGACTCGGAGAATAATCGAGTGATGCGTTGGCCTAAAGGAGCGAAACAAGGCACTGTCGTTGTGGGTGGAAATGGTCGAGGAGAAGGAGCAAATCAGTTCAAGGTTCCCATTGGTTTGTCCTTCGATCGACATGACAATCTCTATGTCGTCGATTGGGGGAATAATCGTGTTCAACGATTTTCAATCGAATAGACTCAAAACGATGAATTATTTTTTTGCGTTCCTTTCCTTTCAAATAAATCGCATTGAATTGATAAAATGAATGTCTATTCTATTCGCGTGCGTGACCAGGAACCATCCTGGTGGAGCTGTGGCGAGCGTAACGCTCATGCACGCACAGGACAGACTCATATCATTCATACCCTCCCCGCGAGAGATATGTCAATGAGTCTGAATAAGCCTGGTCGTGTGCCACGGACACCAAGACGATTCCTGGCTGGGCTTTTAGGGACTACCCGGAAGTCCTTCATAAAAGGCGAAACTCTAACCCTCAACTGGCAGAACTCACCCTCGCCTCTCACTAACACTCACTTTTCTGAGTCTCATCCTCACCCTTCTCAATCTCAATGTCACTATCTAACCTCATCCCTCTCTCACCCCTATTCTCTTTCTCGAAAGAAAAAAAAAAGAAATAATTACTCACGTGTTCGAATATTGGACGATGATAAAGAAGACGCGATCCTGTTGAAGACTGAAAAGAAAAAGAAAAAGAAAAAAAAATTTAATTAATGTTATATTATGAGAAAATATTAGTTAACTTACTCCCTGTTATCTTTTCCTAGTTGATAATAATCATAGAACCTAAAACAAAAGATAACAAAATAAAAGATGAAAAAAAATTACTTAGCATCTTTGATTTCTTCATATTCATCTAAAAGAAAGAAAAAATTTTAAAAAAACAATTTTTACTTACTTTCAATATTTAATGGCTAAAATAGAAAAAAACAAAGCTTAAAATAGATCAAAAGAGGACTTACTACCCTCCATGTGATCCAAAAGAAAAAAAAAGAGAAGAAAAAAAATGAAAAACTGATACCTACCAGAGATGCCAACAGGCCACTTTTTTCTGGCCTGGCCTGGCCTGCTGCCTGGCCTGGCCTGGCCTGACTTAGCCTACAGGCCAGGCCAAAAATCAAAGAGTGGCCTGCGGCCTGGCCTGGCCTGGCCTGGCCTGACCTGCAGGCCAAACCAGGCCAAATGATGTTTCTGATCTTTCAAATCCATTAAATTCTATAACTCTGTATTAATACATGGTTCCAATTTCAATTATTTATTTAATTTATTTTCATGAAGATAATAGAATAACAAGTTTTTGCACAAAATAGCAAATTAAAACAAAGAAACAATCATCTTAAATATTTTTCGTACAAGAAACACTTGAATTTACGAAAAATTTTGATGAGATCAATACTTCTTCACATAATCGAAAGATGTTTAAGCATAATAACAAAAACAACGTATGATCCGGGATACAACGAAGAGTTAAAAGAAAATATATAAGTAAGATGTAGAGAATAAGAGAGAGTAATAGTAATAAGAAAGAACATTTACATTTGACTATTCAATTTGGTAACAGTACGAATGCAAAGCACATTATCCAATTGTTCAGGATCTAAACAAGTTCTTCTATTAGTTAATGTGAGTCCTGCAATACTAAATTGGCGCTCGATTCCAGCACTAGTTGCTGGAATACTATGAATTTGTCTAGCAACTTGTGATAAATGAGGTAATTCATCAGTATTTGATTTCCAAAATGCAAGAACATCAGAACGATAATGTTTCATATCGATTTTCATCGATAAATATCGACTAAGTTCATCAGATTGACATATAGGTAATGAATATTCAACACTTTTGGTATCATAATCATCATCATCACATTCATCATCATATGTATTTGCATCATCTTTAAAATCGTCTAGAATAGATGAATGTTCGGATTTATGTAGTTTATTCTTTTGTATTTCATTATTGTTCTTCTTCTGTTCTTTTTCAATTAGTATCAATTGTTCTCGTACATAATTGTGACATTCAACTCTTTCACCATTTGTACATCCTTTGAGACTACGATAATTTGGATGTAAAAGAGTTGCACAATAATGTCTGATATCTAAATCAACCATATCATGTAATAATGTTGATATCCGTTGACGAATATAACTTACACCTGAAAACAGTTACATAAAAGAAGAGTACGTTTTACTATTGTTTTACCTTCATCTTCTTGTTCATCATTATAATTATCATTTATTTCTTGACCTTCATATTTACCAACATGTTGTAAGAGATTATCGAAAGATTTTAATGCTTTTTGAAGACTTAAGGTGCATGGTAATACTAGATATAATGTTGGACTTGATCCTGATTGTATCATTTTAATGATTGCTTGAAATGGTTTTAAAAGACGTATTGTTTGCTTCACCAAATATTGATTAAAACCGGATAACCTTTGGTGTTGTTTTCGAGGAACTAAAACGACTTTTATTTGTATAAATGAAGCATTAATACTCTCCAACAAATTGATTAAAGAAATCCAACGAATAACAATTGCTTGTTGTACTGCAATACCACCAGCTCCTTCAGTTTCCTTATTCAAGCCGGCCTAATTAAAATCAAAATATCTCATACGATTAACTTGCCGAAAAAAATGTATGAATTTACTTTTTTGATGTATTTTGCCAACGATTTACATTGAACAATTGTTTTAATCAATAGTTGAACAGCTGGTGGAGTATCAATCAATTTTGTTGTCATCATTTGTTCTTTCATGACGTTCGTATAACTATTTAACTTCTTGTTTGTTTTTACCGGTTTTGATGAGATATAAAATGAATCATCATCTTCCTCTTCATCACTAGTAGAAGTTTTTTCAATAGAAATAGCTGATGATGTAGGTAATTGTTTCTGATGTTGGAAGAATGATCGTTTAAGAACATTATTCAATCTATGTCCATAGCACGTAATCGGATGTAAATCTCGAAATGCTTTTAAAAAATTCGAGGCTTTATCACAGACAATATTAATTGTTGATAAATCGATAATTCCGAATACTTTCATTTCATTTTGTAAAGCCTGCAAGAAAGTAGTAATGGACAATATTAATAGAAGTTTATTAGTAAATGAAATATTAAAATTACAATCAAAATATTTTCAGCAGTTTTTTCAAGTTCTTGAAATGGTTTACAAAAAAGATCAATTGTATAATATTTAAAACCTTCATCAATAATTACTGCTGTAACACCGAGATAAGAAATTTGTTTATATTTGTCGGACCAAAAATCTGGCGATATTGACAAACATCTGTTCTTGTATGGTTCCTGCAATAATTCTTTAATACGTTCACGACAAGATTTAGCAACAACTTGTACATGAGCAGAAATTGTTGTTCGACCACGAAGTATATCATTTACATCAACATTTCCATATATACTTCCTAAAAAAGTATATTCAATAGATATTAAATAAAAAAGATGCATACCCAATCTCACACATTCTTGAATAAGTGCTCGAAGACCATCATCATCGATTATGGAAAAAGGACGAATATCACTGCATATCCAACGTACAATCAAATCTTTAATTACCTTTGATTGTTCATCACTTAATTTTTTACGAATTAACATCACTTTATCAATTGGTGTTTGTGTTGATGTTTTCATATTATCAGTAATAATACATGGATGTTGTTTCATATGAGTAGTTCCACTATGTGGACCATAGACAAAAGTCTTTTTACATTTATGACAACTTGTAAATCCCATAATTCTCTCAAAACTACCGGTTTCTTTGTTTAACTTTGCTGGAAATCCAAAAACAGACCAATATGAACCAACAGCTGATGATGCTTTATTATCAATAATATCGTAATGTTGTTTTTCGTGTTTTAATAAATAACATATTCGTTCACTAGCATATGATAACGAATTTGACGAAGAAGATGCTGAAACATTTGTATTTGACGAAGAAGATGATAAAATATTTGTATTTGACGAAGAAGATGATAAAATATTTGTATTTGACGAAGAAGATGATGGAAAATTTGTATTTGACGAAGAGGATGAAAAATTTGTATTTGATGAAGATGATAAAATATTTGTATTTGACGAAGAAGATGATAAAATATTTGTATTTGACGAAGAAGATGATGAAACATTTGCATTTGACGAAGAAGAAAATGTTGAAACATTCGTATTTGATGATGTAGAAGTAGACGAAGCAGGAGAGCTGGATAAAATCTGAATATCATCAATTGACATTGTTGTTGAAATAGATGAAGCAGGAGAGATTGATAAAATATGAATATCATCAATTGACATTGAAGAAATAGATGAAGTCGAAGGGGTTGATAAATGATGAATATGTTCAGTTGACATTGTTTATTTAAATCATTGCCTATAAAAAAAATTGTAAAAAAAAATGTATTTTGTCTTTCAGTTAAACAAAATTATTGTTTTCTTTATTTTCGCTGAAATAAATCAACCATAAATATTGTCTCCTCTCCTTTATTCATTCAAACCGTTCACTCTAGTGGTCTATACTATTCACCAATTATAAATGACGAAGTTAAAAGTGAACAAAATCATCAACTTGTGGTGCCATCTCATGTTTCAAGATGACTACCCATGTAAAAAAAAATTATTAAAAATCAGATTAAAAATCGATTAAAACGAGACGGTTTTAATCAAAATTTTCAGCCTTAAAAGACAGACTTTATTTGACTTAATCTTTTTTAATCGATCAAAACAGATTAAAATCGATTAAATAACTTTAATAATCAATTATAATCGATTTATTTCAATAATCGATTTTAATCGATTAAAATCAGATTAAGTCAAATAAAATCTGTCTTTTAAGGCTGAAAAATCTGATTAAAATCAGATTAAAATCGTCTCATTTTAATCGATTTTGAATCTGATTTTTTTTACATGGGTACTAGAGAAATCAATATCATATCGCAGCCAGGCCACCAACTTTGGCCTGACCTGGCCTGGTAACCAGGCCGGATATTACATGGACGGATCAGGCCAGGCCAAAATTTTAAAATTCAGCCTGGCCAGGTGGCCTGGCCTGGCAGGCTACCAGGCGCCTGCCAGGCAGCAGGCCAGGCCGGCAGCTCTGATACCTACATTTTATTTTATTGCTTGACGTTGAATTGTATAATTTTGTATTGTTGAAACCAATCTAAAATATAAAAGGAAACGATTATTATGTGATTCAATAAATTGAATGATTTTCTATGTAAAATCATTCATATTTATATCCTCATGATGGTTATTGAGAGAGAAATTACTTTTTTCCTTTGTCATAGGAGAGTAATTAAAAGATGAATCTCATTAAGCTATAATCAGAGCACACAGATACATTGAGATAAAATTCAATTACAACTATCTTAATGTATGGGTGTGGATAAAGCTTAATTGATATACATATTAATTATGCTATGTTATCATTGATCATCAATGATAACATGAACGACGACTTATGGACGAGAGAAGACAAAAAAGAAAATTATTCTCTTGACCTTTTTCTTTTCTCTCACTTTTACATTTTCAATATGTGTACAGAATAGACGAACA